GCCATTTGGAGCAGTCAATTGTGATGCATTACCAAAATCATAATTTGTTGTTGGTGAAGTTGGTACTGCTGCAACAACATCAAGAGCACCCTAAAATTTCAAAGCTTAGATATTACAAAAATTAATTAATTTCAAAAATTAATTAAAAAAAAGTTGAAAAAGTGAATAAAAGACGAGATAACTGTAGTCGAAAAGAATATCAATATGTAATATGTTAAAAATTACTTCTTGAAAAATTGTTCCTACTTTATTTTTCTTTTTTTTAGGAAAAAAAAAACAAAATACTTTTAAGAAGGACTTTAAAAATACTTCATTCTAACAGTAATAATTAATTAATTAAATTTTCTATCAAGGATAAAGCATCCGTACCCGAATGACTTTCTTCAAATCCAAAAATGGCTTTTCTTCAGCAAAAACAGTAATTATATGCGGTAATAGTAATAAAATTATTTTTGCAAACATCTAAATCAAATTTAAAAGTGAAACATTAATGAATACAAATAACATAAGAAGTATAAATATTTCAAGTTTTTTCATTATAATAATGCAATTAAGAAATGGATTCATAATTAAGAAAATTCTTTATCCTACTATACTAGTAGAAAGGCAATTATTAAATTAATAATATTAAATAAATTATTGTTATTAATTTAATAACATAAGACACTTAGCATAATGATATTAGAATTACAATTTAAAAAATGTCAAATTTTGTCATGCTTATATATAATATTCAAAATGATGGTATAACCAAAGTAAGAAATTAGAAAAGTTAGAAAATTAAAATCAAATTGTTGATATTAGTTTGAAGGAGGATGAGGTGCTGGAGGACGAGGAGAGGGGTAGTAATATGGTCAAAAAGTGGGTATTAGAAAAGGAAAGACCTAAATATCATCAGCTGTATATTGGTGATGTAAAAGTGATGCTCTCAATTTCAAATCAAACAATTTCAACTGATCCAATTGCATTCCAGGTGAAGTTTTCTAAAATTCTTAATGAAAATTTATTTCCAAAGAAAAAATTTTTAATTAATCTAATCATTTATGTTGCATTTATTCTTTCATAATTTTATTAGAATTATATTTTTCCCAAAAAGAAAATTTTTTATTTGTTACAATTAAAAATTATTTTATAGAAAAAATTTCGAAAAATTTGTTATCGTTGCTAATAAACTGCAAACGAAATAAAAAAAGAAAAGCAAAAAATGAGGAAAATTTTACCTTTTTTATTAATAGATTAAATTTTAAAAGGAAGAAAAAATAAACGTAAATAAAAACTTTACTTCTAAACGTGCAAATATATATGAATGCAAAGTTCTAATATGTTAGTTTGAAAACTACTAAGTCAAAGTGAACAAATATGCAAGAAACAAATGAGATAAATAAAAATAATAATAACAGTAATAATAATAATAATAACAGTGATAATAATCGATGATAGTAGTAAAAGTTATAAAAACAATAATAATTGTAATAATTATTATTGTTACAATGATAAGTCGATCCTGTAGTTTTATATGAAATTTTTTCAAAAGAAAATATTGGTAATAACGGATAAAGAAAATAGCAAACAAGAAAAAGAATGATGCTGAAAAATGAAATGAAAATAGTCATTTAAAGATAAAATGATTGGATATGAAGTAAGATGAAAAAGATGGAAAAAATGATGATGAAGTGAAATGAGTTAAATAAAAATTAACAAATGAAATAAAAAAGATGTTTTCACTCATTGAACTAAATTTTGTCGATTATCTTTCATGCATATAACAAATATTTTGTGTGAAAATATTCATTTTTGTATTAATTATAACAATGACTACTTGTTTTTTTTTTATCAAATTTCCATCAAAGAAATTTTCTTTTGTTGCTAAATAACTTTTATAAGTATTAAATATTGTTTAGGTATAATTATTAGAAATTTCAGAGCAATTAATTATTTTTATCAATGTTATGTTTGACTAGTTTTCATTTACAGTTTTTTTTTTTCCTTCTTTAGCATTAATTTTCTAATTAAATTTATAAATGAAATAAATATAACAACAATATGAAGATATGAAACTCACGAATTTATTTTACAATAAAATTCGAAATTTTATATAAGAAAGAAACGACTAAAAAATAACAAGAAAATGGAAACAATTATAACTAAAAAAAAAGGGAGAGAGAGAGGAAAAGGGTAAAAAAGAAAGAAGGACTTGATAATGAATTTGGGCATTATTTCGAGTAAAATTTTATTTTAATCTCTAAATGATAATATTGAAAATTATCTTCGAATGAAAATTCAGAGTTAAAGAGGGAAAAAAAGAGAATTAAATATGATAATAACGAAAGAAATCATGTCGTTTTTAAAAATTTCATTGATGTGTTTGGGAATTGTTTTCAGATTATTACTTTTTTTTTTCTTTTTGTTGATTTAATTGAACACGAAAATTAGTAAAATTTCATTTTGCATCTATTTCATAATTAATTAATTAATAATTTTAATACTTTAATTCAGTCATAGATTTAGATTTTTGTTTTAAATAAAATTTATTTAGGTAAAATGGAATGCTTTCTTGCAACTATTATCAAACAATTTTAATTTATATTTTGTTTTGTTTTTTTCTTTTCCTTATTTCGTTTTAATTTTTATTTTTTTTTCGTTACCTATTTTACTATTCCAACTCATATTTTGTTTTTTTTTCTCGTTTTTTTTTTTTGTATTTGCAGAAGTTACAACAATACAAATTCAATGCAAACGAGTAAGTATAAATTTTAATTAAAACTTATAAAATTTAATTATAATATTTCTCAGTTATAAAAATAATCAACTTTTTAAAATTTCATCAAATTTCATTAAAAAATTTTTTGTCCTTTTAAAACGCTTTTTTTTTTTCATAATGTTTATTAATTAATGATTGACAAATTTCATTTCTATTATTTGCTTTTTTCTTGTTTTTTTTTTTTTCAAATATTTTAAAGTAGTCTGTCAGAAAAAGTAAATTATTTTGTTAAACAATGATATGACGTCATCAGGAAAATATTATTCATCTATAACTTTTGCATGTTTTGCTTTCAAACTATCACTATCATCATCAAATTTCTAACAATTATTTACTGATAGCTTAACACTTCACAGTATATCAACAATCTTTAATTTCTAATGTTTTTTAATGAATTTGTTTTTTTTTTTTCCTTTTGAATTAAGATTTTATTTGTTTCACTTTGTGTTTCTTTTCGCTCTTCTATTTATTGTTTAAAATGTTGAAATTTATATATTGATATATCATTGTAATATGTTGTTGTCTATTCCTATGTCATTAATTCAAAATTTGTTATTATCAAATTTTTAAACGAAGAGAGAAAAGAAAATGGGAAAGGCTAATAAAAGAAAGAATTATTTTTTTAATATTATTTTTAAATAAAAAAAATTCAATCAAAGTTTAAAATTTACTAATTTTGAATGTAGGAAAGTAATCAAAGCAATTAATTTATTTATTTTGTTAGATATTTCAAAGAATTTTTAAAACAGATTATTTTATTATCAATCAATATTTTATAAGATTTTCATCCTTATTTTTATATTTGGTCATTTTCAACTTATCAGAGATAATTTAACATTTAACAGATTTATTCATAAATTTATTTTAAATTAACAAAAAAAAATTGCAAATGAATTAATTTATACTTAGCATTTTAGTACTTTTCCCGTTTCTAACATATAGCATTTTTTCTTTTTTTTTTTCTTTTTGAAAAAAAAAAAAGATTTTCAAACTTATTTTTCATTCTCTTTTTAAGATGTAAAAAATTGACAGCTTGTAAAGTAGAAACGATGTTACAAATTTTGGTGTATTAACCAATAATATTTCAGCTATTTGTGTTACCTCAAAAAAAAAAAGTAAAGAAAGAAAAATGAAAATGCTAAGTACGGCGAAGTACGAAAATGAAATTTCCCAGGGAAACAAAAAAAAGAAATTTAACATTTTTGTATGCAAAACAGATTGTAATGATAAATGCATACCGTATGTTTTGTTTATGTATAAATGTGCAAATAAACAAAACTTTTTAAACTAATCAATTTTGTAGTAGAAATTCTCCAAGTTTCTTTTTTTGTTTTTTTTTTTTTTTTTTAAAAAAAAAGCGAAAAAGCGAAAAAGAAAAGAAAGACACTAAGAAAGATTGTTAAGACAGCTGTCATTTTCAACAAATGGATTTACTCGAAATCATCCAATCAACATTACTTTTAAAAGTTCCCATATTTATCTTTTATCATTATTGCTTTAACAATTTTTCAGTCCAAATTAAACATTATTGAAATTTAATAGAAATAATTCCGTTAAACATACCAATTTTCATTTTATTATTTGCTATATTGTAATGCATGCATATTGTATGAATTAATAGTTTATTTAGCATTTAAATTTCTTTTATTTTGTAAATTATTTAAACATTTTACGAGTCTTTTGTTCTAATCATTTGTAGAATATAAGCACAAATTGTTAGATTTTAATATTCCGATAAAAAAAAAAAGTGACACTTTTAAAAAATTGATGAAAATGAATGTATTAAATTTGATATTCGTATTCGGTTTTTAAGAAATTTTTGTTTACAATTGTTACTTTAACGAATATTTTTAAAAGGAAAATGATTTGCTTTATTTTATTTTTTCTTTTGTTCACCATTTTTTTTTCTTCAATGTTTAATTCGTATTTTTCCGTTTCTTTCAATTTAAAATATTATTATTAATTATTAGCATTATTGTTGTTATTAGATAATAATTATTTGAGTAAAAATATACAATAATCTTGTTGTTCGTTTATTAATTATTTTCGTTTAGCTTTGATAAAATGCTATTATCTAATTTGAATGCAAATATTTGTAACATTTGAAAACATATAATTTTTAGCATTTTAATGCCTATTTATTATTAATTGCTAAAATTATATGAATTCTTGGATTTTGAAATTGTTCAATTAAATTTTCAGAAATTGAATGATTGAGATGAAAAGAAAAACAGAAACAATGAAAAGTGTGTCACAATCGGCATCTAAAACAGTCATTTCTTATATTTATAAACTCATCCAAACTAATAAATTTTCTCACTTGATTGCGCTTATTTATGATAATATTTTGGAAAATTCCAACAAACCATTCTTGAATAAGTTTGTTTTCACTATTTTTGTCATAATATAATTTAATTATTTTTATTATTTGACAAATCGTAGTTTTTTTTTTTTTTTTATTTTTTAAAATGAACAATAGCATTATTATTTTATATGTTTATTTATCATTTGAACAAAGTTTTTTAATTACTTTTTTATCAACAATGATTCGTTTTTTTTTTTTTTTTTTTTTGCTCTGAAATGGAAAATAAATGTTATTATTAAAATATTTGCCTAGAAAAGAAATAGAAAATATTAGGAAAATATTTAAAAGCAAAAATTGTAATTAATGCATAAAATGTTTTTAATTATTTTATTCCTCTGGGAATATCAATTTAAATTATACATGATGCATTATTATTATTGTTATTATTGCTATTAATTCACTTAATAAATTGGAAATTTTCAAATACATATTTCTTTAATGTTAGAATTTTCAGTTAGCATTCATACATCTTTTCTCCCAAGAAATTATAGAATTTAATAATATTTGAAATTTAATTCTGCTGTTTTTCGCAATTCAATTATTTCAATTAATTATATTTCAGTCATTTATTATTTAATTATTGAATGATTTTTGTTTTATAGAGCACAAGCTGAGATTATCCTTTCATTGCTCTGTTTACCAAATCAAAAGATTCCAAATATTGTGAGTTATGCTGATCTATGCTTATTACTTAAGGATGCTTATGAAGAAAAATTTGGAAATGTATCAAGTAAAAATTTTTTTTTCCTTCTCAATTAATATAAAAATTTGAGCTTACATAAAAATAAAATTGAATTTACTTCATTTTTAATAAATTTGACTTTAAGTTATTCATTTTTTTTTCATGTAATTAATGACAAAATTTCATTTAGATAAAAATGAGGAAAATTTATCAAAATCTGAAGATAGTTGGGATGAAGAGAATTTAGAAGAAATGGAAGTTCTCTCAACATTGAATTCATTTCGTACTAAAACACATGCGCAGTGTTCAGATATTTTTAATTTTATTCGACAAGAAAATTTGGTAATTTTTTCAAAATTTTAATTACTAAACAATGATTGGAAAATTGTAGAAAATATATTTTCCAAAAAAAGGAAAAAAAATAACAAGCTACTTAAAAAAAAAAAAAAATTACAATTTAGGGTATATTACTAACAAATACGTTATTTGATCTCTTTCTCTTCACCATTTAAAAAAAAAAAATTTAAATTGTCAGTTGGCATGAATAGATAGCTCGCTGCATTAATACTGATAAAAATGAGTAAAATAATATTATGAAATTTAAGACTGACTGATATAATTTTGTTTATCAGTTAAGATTCGTACAGTAATGCGACAAGCATGGAAAATGCAAAAATTAAAAAAAGATTTGTATGAAATGGAACAAAAGATGGATTATTTGGTTGCACATTATGTTGCTGGAAAGTATGAGTGCAATTTTTTCTGTTATATCGTTTTCTTCTTATTTTCTTTCTGTGTTTTTTAAATTTTTAAAGAAAACTAAAATTTTTTCTTTAAACATTAAATAAATCTATCAGTAGTTCTTGATGAAACATTTTAAAACTATTTTTATAGCTTAAAAGTTTTTGAAAAAAGAATTAAATGTTTATTAGTTATTTAGTTTTCTTTCTGACTGAAATAAATAAAGTGATTAGGGAAATATTGTTTTAGATATTGTGCATGTCAAAATGGTGAATATTCGGAATGTGATTCAGGCTGTCATACGGATCGAAGTAGTTCATCAAATAATTCAATAACAAAATCATTCGTAACAAAGTAGGTCTTTTCTTGGTTGATTCATTTGTTGATATTAAATAATATTTAGAACTTGTTTAAATAACACTTTTTTTTTTCATTTTTTATCTTATTTAATAATGAATAGAATAATTAAGTAAACAAACAAATAAGCAAATAGATAAAAATAAATAAATAAACAAATAATTTAATTAATAGGTAAATAAATAAAGCGTTGCAGATTGATAAGTGAATAAGTGAATAAATAGATTGATTAATTAACCAATTAATTAGACAAACAAATAAACAAACAAATATATATATATATATAGATAGATAGATAGATAGATAGATAGATAGATAATAAAAAAGTAATAAATGAATATATATATTTGAGAGGTAAATTTTTTTTCTTCCTTTCTTTTTCTCTCTTTTCTTGTTTTCTTTGTTATATATTTATTTATTTTTATTACAGGAAAGATGAAACAAATGATATGACAATAATAAGTGGTCAGAATTTTCTAACAGTAAATGACAGTCATAAAAATAATGGGATGAATTCATATCAGAAAACTATGAAATCACTGAATGAAAATGGAAAATCATTATACGATGAACAAAACATTTGCATCGACAACAAGCCATCCACTTCTTTCACATCTATTCGTAACATAAAATCAAATGATTTCTCATTATCAATCAATCAAACCATTATCAATCAATTAAATGATGATATGATTGTAAAAGATGAGATAATGTCAAAAACTGAATTAGATTCAAAAAAATCAATGAATATTTTATCCGCTGTTAATTATAATTTTTCAAATGTTAAACATACAATTAATAATTTGTTATCAAATGATACGAATACAATTAGTCAACATAATAATTTATCAATGCGTATGACGCAATCAGTCATTGGAACTAATGTATTGCCAAATTATCGAAATAAATTTACAAAATTACAACTTACAACAAATTTTAAATGTTATGATTATGATGAACAAATTTCATGTAAAAAAATTGAATTGAAAAAATATATTGAATTTGATACTTCATCATTTTGGAATAAAAAATAAATGATCATGTTTTACATTATATCATTTGAAAAAAAAAAAAAAAAAAAAAGGAAAGTTGTTATCATGTATCAATATTATTTATAAGTACATTTTACACATACATATACACGGACACTTATGATTAAAATTGAAAAAGAAATGATAAAGTGCTGAGTGAAACGAGAGAAGCATAAGAATTTTCGTACAAATTTTATAATTTTTGAAATTTATTAATTTATCACAAATTAAATATTGTAATTTTAATGCTTATGATATACTTCTTTCCATTATCACTCGTGCCTTTTTTTTTTATTATTATTATAATTGAATAATTAATTTATTTTATATGCTATTCATCGTATATTTTTAGGCCTTTTTTTTTGCTTTTTTCAGAAAAATAATCTATTTTTAATCATTTCTTCTTCTCAGTCATTTCTAAAGAATAATTAGGAAAAAATTCTTTTCCCAAAGAAGTAATTTCTAAAGTTTTTAACATTAATTAATTTCAAGGATACGTTCACACAAAAAAGCGTAACAGTTAGGACCCAAGAAATTGTCATAGCGAGACGATGCTTATTAAAGGTAGGCCGTGGAAGAGCGAGTGGGGAATGTTTGTGTTATAATATTTGGATTTGCGGTAATTTGATAGGTAATGATTTCAGGATGAGTAATTCGACCGAATTTGAGAATTAGCATTTATCCTTTTGAAAAAAAAAAAAAAAAAAGAAAGAAGAGAGGGAAAACTATTGTAAAAAAAATATTGCATGTTTATTTTGGATGAGTGTGAAAAAAATGTTTCAAAAATTTGTTAGGAATTCAGTAGGCTAATATTTGAATAGTCCCATCAGTATAACGAACTAGTTTTTGTTGAGAAGGAAAACGAAAATACAGCTTGTAAATTACATTTTGTAGTTTTGAATTTTTCAGTTCAGTTTATCATGTTTAAATTTTTTACATATGTTGCAGATTGTGTAAATCGATGATGCTGTTATAAATCAGAGTGCTCACGAAAAAAAAAAAAAAAACTAGTAAAAAAACGTTGGAATGTATAAATCTGACCAATACAGAGACAGCGTATCCTGGCAGTCATATCGAGCTGTTCCATCATTATCTTCTGTGGAACACAGGTATTTTTTTATTCTTGATGTGTTAGTTCGATAATATCATTGGAGAATTCTGGTTTTAGAATTGGTTTATTTCTGGAAATGATGCATAAGGCGAAATTATATTTGAAATATTCAATAGTACTAATACTGTACATGTGATTTCAGATCGCACTGTTTAAATTTATCTGTGTATTTATTTCACCATTTCAGGAATTTGGAAGAGACAAGACCAATTGCTAACGCATCATTATGCTATGTTATATATACGTGTAATATTATAATAATGGTGAATATTTTGTGTTAATTTTTGCTAATAATTAGCAAAAATGAAGTAATTTTTTTTCCATATAAGATTATAATATTAATTGGTTAATGAAGTCCAACAGTTTGCTGTTATGCAAATTTTCAATAAAATATCATTGGAACACTAATTGCTTCATTTGGTTTAGCGGTTGTATTTGCAGCAGAATGTAGATTTTTTTTAATGATAATTTTCTGGGACGTTATTTGGTGAAATAAAAGGAAAGAAGAGAATATTCACAAGTTTTTTCAGGATCTTCATATCTTTATTGTAATGAGGATAAAGTATTTTCAGGTTGCTGGTACGGCATCGTTAGCTATGGGAGCATGGCTTCGTACAGATTCACGATTTAGAGATTTCCTCTCTCAGAGGTACAGGAATGTTGTAGAAGAAGAATTTTGGCAGGTAACTTGTTGGAACAGAACTGTTCCGAATCAACTTGTATTTTCGAAAGTTCATTTGAAACAATGAGTGATGCTTTTGCAAAGATATATGCTGCTCATAAGGCATTTTTATTTGCTATATTTCAAATGCTCGTCCTCAGGATGTCAAATTTTTGTCTTATTCTTAATCTCGTATTTTACATATTACGTAATGCTAACAGTTAAGTAACTATTGATAGTTTTGAATAATCAGTTAGAATAGTGTAAGATTATGGAAGTTAAAGAGAAATTTGTAGGCTCCCACTTTATACGTTTTCTCCTACATTCTGATTGTCATTGGAATGTGCATGGTGGTTATTAGTATGATTGGTTGCTGTGGTGCATCTACTGATTCTCGAGTACTCCTCTTAATATATGCAGTAACAATATGCATCCTTATGCTGTGCACTATTTCTTCAAAAACTTATCTTATCTTCAGAAAATATGGCGTAAGTTTCTGATTTTTTCATAGTCTTCATTAAAAGTCTCTGATATTTTAATTTTCGAATATAAGGATATTCTTGCAGATTGATGTTGAAGTGTCGGATGCATTAACATATATGGTTCAAAACTATTATCAAGGAGCAGGAATTGTTCAGGAAAGCTTAGATCGATTACAGCAAGCATTTCGATGCTGTGGTATAATTTTGTTCCCACTTATTCCTTTGAATTTTAGGTGATATCTTTCGAGTTACGAGAACTCAGTTTATTAATGAATCGATTTTCAACGTTTCTTACATGTTAATTTCATGAGATTTTGATATGTTGGATGTCATCTTAGTATGTTCAGTGTTACTGGCAGCCTGTTTCGGTTTTTTTTTCATATATTTGGGAATTTCTTCTGTTATTATTTTAACGTCAGCTAGAAATTAATGTTAAAAAAAAAAAAAAAAAAAAATGTTAAGGTAACGCGGGTTGTAGTGATTTCCGATTTCTGCATCAAGATATTCCGCGTTCATGTGACATCAGATGTGATGGTTGTCATTATCGTATAATGGTTGCACTGCGTATTGGTTTTTCTGTTGCATTTGTTATCTTTGCAATCGTTGTTATTGCTGAGGTGTGTTACATCGTAAACATCTATGTTGTAAACATGCATCATATTTCTGACAGATATTTGATTCTTTTATGTGTTAAAAAATTGATTCCAAAATTCATGGATACTATTTCAGTAATACAAAATAATGAAATTTGTTCATTTTAAAATAAGTTATTTTTAGCTTATCGCAATTGCATCTGCACTAGTCCTCGTGATGAGATCAAAAAGTTCAGCTAGAGCTCTGCTGGATAAAATGGGGTGCCGCAGAAGTCATTATGGAAGCAAGTATTACAAGCATGCACCGGAGCAGTATGTGGATTTGAATTCGCTACGAAGTGATGATTGTCCCGTACCTTATCGTCATTATTCAGAACAGTTTACTTCACAGAAAAAATACTAAATCTTTGAGCGATCATTTATGCAATAATTTTTATCAAACTTGTTTGTTTTTTTTTCCTTTTCGGTGCTTTTTTTGAATTCATCCATGTGTCCATGATGATTGGCAGTTAGCCAAGAAAAAATACAAATATACTTGTCTGCTGTGTTTATTTTCCTTATACAGTACATTGAAATTCTATTTATCTAATAACGTACTTTTTATTTATATTTTGGGTACATGTTACTTTAACTAAGTTTCTTACTTTATTCATCTTTCATTCTATGTGTCTCTGTGATTAGCAATCTACATATCACCCGGGATGTTATTAATTTAATGATTTTTAATTTGTTTCTTTCTAATTTTGTTCACCTTATTAACTTAGTCAATTTAATACTGTGATTAATACCAGTCCACTTATTGCTTTAATTGTGATTTTTTTTTTTCAGTTATTGTAATTAACGCTTTGATGATTTTATATAATTAGCAGTTGTTGTTCCGCTATTGCATTAACGTCTGTTTACTCATCGCTTTAATTTTGTTTTATTGCTTAGTGCATCTCACATTGTGTTCGTTATCAATTTATATATTGCTTTCGACACATTCTGTTTTTATTTTTGATCGGCTAATTTTTATTCTTTGAGATACTTACCTACTGGTTATAAACTGCGGAACTGGCGCATTTTTTTTTTTTTCTATTCGTTGGGTGCTGCTATTCTTTTTTTTTTTTTTTAGAAACTTTTTTACTATTAATGATTTTTGTTCAGTAAACAATCTAAAAATCTTGTTTTTTTAGACTACTGTCATACAAAGGTTGCTCCATTTTCGTAATTACTTTAGCCTTAAAGTTTTATTCTGTATGTAAAGAATTTTATATCTTTGAAGAGACGTACTGTTTTTTTTTTTTTTTTTTTCTGTAATTTTGAAAATTGACGAAATGTTTTATGGTTAATACAAGTCATTTTGTTGGTGGATACATAGTTTGAAGAATTGCATCGAATGCTTAAATCAAGTTATTTTAGTTGAGCAATGGTATTTGAATTCAGGAATGCATAAAAGGGAGAAAACGAAGGAAAGGGAGGGAAGGAATGCACTTTCTTAATTCATCTCATGTACGTGATTAAAGATATTTGTTTTTTCTTTTCTTTTTTTCATCCATTATTTTGGACTTGTTCTACTGGTTTCTTTGTAACATTTTTTGCTATGAACCTCTTTTCTGTATGTTTCATTTATTTAATTATTCGGAAAAATTCTATAATTTGAAGTGCTTCATTTTTTCGTCTTCACAGTTCTACTTCATTATGACCCTCTTTCGTGTTTTTTTTTTTTTTTTTTTTTCCTGTCAATTTTATATAAATGAAATGTTTATTATACAAATGAAATACCTTATTTAGGCATATCCCATGTTTTTTTGAATGCTAACGCAATGAGATACAAAAATCAATTACCCATTTAGCATCATAACATATATATATATATATATATATATATATACTATGAATCGGATATTAACATTTTAAACCAATTCATGTTTTTTTTTTTTTTTCTAAATAAGAATTGATCGCATATTCTTTTTATGGCTTATATACCGGGATACGGTTGTGTCCACACGATTTTCTTCTTTTCGTTTACTTCGGTGAGTAATATTATTTATTTTATGGCCGATTTGGTATGAATTTTGAAGTGGATCGCTTTTTTTGATGATAGATATAGGTCTTATGAAATGGGTGAAGAAAGAGGTACAGAGCCCCAACCGACAACAATATGGCATGGAGCAAGTTTAAGAGACAGTTTCTTGACCGTTGTTCAGGTTTTCTACTTTTTCATTTTTGTACTCAGAACGATCAAACATTGGCACGAATATATCTCTTGGACTTGGATTTCTTTTTTTTCTAATGTGTCTATTATTATCTCACCAAAATGATAGTTGATGTGCTTGTTGCTTCTTTCATTTCATTCTCTTCACATTACAGAACGCCGGCTCTCAAGAAATGCGTAGTGGACTTGTGGAAGATTTCAGAACAGCATTGGATATGTTGGCACAGGCTGCACCTGCTTCTAATATTTCATCGGTTGAATCAGGTATCAATATTTGGACATATCGTTACGTTTAATGTAATTGGTGGTTAGAGAAATTCCAAATATATTTTAGGATAATCATAGCTCCATCGTTTCCTGTTTTTTTTTTTTTTTTTTTTTTTTTTACAGCAGTCGTTTAATAAACACGGTAGATATGCTGAGGAAGACTAAAAATTAAAAATTGTGGTGAAATTAAGTTTTGTCATAATGACATTTTGA